CGTGTGCACACGAGCGTCGTTCTATCTTTGTTCAACTTTCAGTAAATAACAAAGATAGAACGACGCTCGGTGCACACGGGTGATGTTCTCGAACGCAGCCCAGCATCGACAATATCGAAAAGTGGATGTAGCACGGACATTAACCAATCGGCTGTTTTATCGGCTCCGAAAGTGGAGGTGGCCATGTAGTTCCAGGCGGCGTAAAATGGATGTACGTGACGTTAGTGTACGACCTAGAAAGAGCGTCACACGAAAAACGGCAGCGTAACGACTCTCATTTTTCTTTCTGGTATGGGTGTTTACGACAAATAATCGGATCTCTGATCGGACTGAGCAGTGGTACTCAATTGATAGACTTCAAAATTTCCCTAGACTAATCCGATTCAATGATCCGTGTCTCTGGAGTGATCGGATTAGATTAGCAGTGGTCTAGTTTCCACCGAAGTATTAATTCGCACCTAGTGCGGCGTAGGACCACGGTGGAAACACCAAACTTAAAGTTGAACTCTATGGGATGTTTCCAACCGTGGTCTTACGCCGCACTAGGTGCGAATTAATACTTCGGTGGAAACTAGACCACTGCTAATCTAATCCGATCACTCCAGAGACACGGATCATTGAATCGGATTAGTCTAGGGAAATTTTGAAGTCTATCAATTGAGTACCACTGCTCAGTCCGATCAGAGATCCGATTATTTGTCGTAAACACCCTTATATGTCACGTATACTATAATATTGGGTGCACCCGGGTGGGAAATTGGAACACAGCCTGAAATGTCAAATTAAAAAAAAAAAACTTGGAAATCCCGAGAGAACCGTTTTAAAAACGCGTATGGTTTTTGTAAGGAATTATTTTTAAAAAATGCCGAGGTGGTGCGCAGTACCGTATTGTAAAATTGGCAGCAAAATGGAACAAATAAAGCGGTCTTTATTTCGCGTACCAAAAGATCCGGTTATATGGAAGAAGTGGGAAAAGGCTATCCCAGGTATAGTCAAGTTGCGCCAGACGGACATTATATATGACAAACATTTTGAGGAAAAAGACATTTCCCGTGAGTGGACTAAGCTCGACGCAAATGATCAAGTAATTGCACGGGTGAGTAAAATGAAAAAATTTCATATCGGTTTCAAAAGAGTTCTTAAGCCCGTATCAGAGTACGTATTAAAGATTGAAATTTGACCAATCAGGATAAAAAGAACTAAAATTTCCTTGTCCTGATTGGTCAAATTTCAATCTCAATACATAGTCTGATACGGGCTTAACTCAAATCATGTATTTTTTTATTAAAGATTACATACAAGTGTCCGCAACTTAAAAAGCAAGCTGTGCCCAAAATTCGGTAACGTTCCGACAGGAAATTGTGAGCCGCTACATGAATATGCGAAACGAATATGCAATGTCTCTATCGAATCTTCTAATATGATGAAACCATCAGTTCATCATATCAGTTCATATCATGAAACCATAATCAGTACCTTGATCGGTGAGTTTCCTGAAATAAAAAGTATTAATTACATTGTTGATAAAAAATGATAGATTATAAGTAATTGAAACATACATACATTTGTTTTGTTTATATTACAGATACCGCACATGTTTCTTTAGTCCGAATCTACAATAGATATAGTAAGCCTTAAGCCATAAGAAATTGATCAATCACAATCAAATGTGAGGAGAATAATGAATTGTTATTGGTAATTTTCTTACAATTTTCACATTGGTAATTTGCTTACTACATCTATTGTAGATCCGAGCTTAAAGGCTGATTTATGCAGGCCGTAACTGTTAATTTATGCCGGAACCGTTAAAGTTTAACACTAGGATTACAATGCTTTTGTTCATAATGCCATTATGAACAAAAGCATTGTAATCCTAGTGTTAAACTTTAACGGTTCCGGCATAAATTAACAGTTACGGCCTGCATAAATCAGCCTTAAGGCCATCACACACAAAATTCCATAAGGACGTAAGACGTAAGCGTAAGAAAATTGACCAATCCCAATCGAGTATTTGGCTTTCCGTAACCCCTCCACTTTTATGGAAATCCCAATATTTAATTGGGATTGGTCAATTTTCTTACGCTTACGTCTTATGTCCTTACGGAATTTTGTGTGTGATGGCCTTTACCAGTTCCAGATATTAGCACAGGTATCGGCATGTCGTTTTCGCCCATGGAACTATCGAATTGTGAATCTCCGGTAGCAGACTTGTTGGTTTGATTTTTTTTTAAATTAATTAATTAATTAATTAATTAATTAAAATTATTAATTTATTAATTATTATTAATCTTTAATTTTATTTATTAATTTTATTCGTATCTAATTTAATTTGAGAAATTAATTTCCTTGTAGAAATTAAAAAAATAAAATAAAAGAGGAAAAGATGGGGACAGGGA